GATAAGAAGAAGTAGCGTCGAGAGAAATGCTTACTGCATTGGTTGAACACGATGTGAAACCACCCCCATAAGCGAACTCCCTGTACGGTGATGGTAGAGTCAAACCGGCCAATAACTGACAGAATTACGGTACGAAATTATAACATTGACAATGCTTACTCCAACCACACTAGCAGATGCCACACCATTGATATGATACACACCTCGAGCCACGTATTTGGCAAGTAACTCGTAGGGGAAAGTGATCAACCAACCGAGCACCTCCTTGGTGATGAAATCGGCGATGAAATCGTAGGTAGGGGACGGCTTCTTGCCCTTTCGTCGGAATATCTTGAAGAGGAAGATGTTGAAGATCCTCTCAGCCTCTTCCATGGAGAACCATACACCATCGTAAGCCATTTTAATAGAGTAGATAATCACAGCTGATCAAAGAGGTTAGCTGTAAGGGTAAAAAGACGCCAAAAACCATCCTAAAGGAACAGAAGGAGACATTTGAGTACGTCGTGATGAAGTCTTTCACTCGGCTGTGATCAAGGGTATCTCGAAACGGCGTGAAAACGTCTTGATACGACTAGCGCTGGGGGTGATGGAGCATCAAGGTTTCCCACAGTGCATCAAAATTTGTCAATTTCTGAAAAAAGCCGAGTATTTCTCGCGCGCCCAATTTTGTTTACGAGGGACAAATAAATGCCCTCGCTGGAAATCGAACCGCGGAGTGTACCGCAACGCAAGGTAGAGTACACACTTCCTATCTCAGAACTTGTGTGTGTGAAATTCCAAATTATTTTCGTCACGGAAATTCCGTCACTGCATTTCATGAGTGAATACTCCCCATGAGCCATTCTGAATGTCGCAGCTATTTCACTCAATACTATAATTTAATAGTAATCAACGAGGAATGTATAACTCAAATAGCAATGGGCACTCCCTCTCAAAATGATACCATCATAGAACCGACTGATAGTATCATAATCACAGAACTTCTATGATGTTATAGCGATGATATCACCCCCGATGCCCGGGCTGCCCATCGAGGTCAAAAGATGTCTCTTTGATATCTTCAAGTCGACAGCGTCACAACGTGACGATGATTGTGCCGATATTCGATCCGACTATCGCCGACGACTATAATCAGAGTCTCCAAATGTGACTAGAATTGATCAACTTCCTTCCGTCACATCAAACGAAATGATCGCGAAATCGATGAATCCCACAAACACTGTTACTAACGAACACTACCCCTACACAAATAGAAACACTTCATGTTCCTTTCAACGAGATGACAAAATCACTTTTAGACGGCGAATAAATTCACCAACATCACCAAACCGGCAATACAACGGTGCCGGGGCCAACCGTATCAAATTGGGGTTCCTGAAGTTTAATAAAACAATTCATCACTGAAATAGATGAGGAATAGGTACTCAACCAAATCCTTATATACTTCAGGGTCGCACAATAAACCGATTTCGAACCTCAGCATCGATTATAGAATCAACTCTCACACGTGTAATACCTTGCTAGAATCAATTCTGAATTTCACGATTAACTGAACATAAGGTTAAGATAAGTGACACATGAAACGGTTTTTCATGCAAGATGTGCATGAAGATACTCCTCCGAATGCATAACGTGCGCAACCAGGGAGGGAGATCAACTCGTCACCAGTTCACAAACTCACCGATAATCTGTGATGATTCCCGCACTTTCCAGTTCACGATGCACCCTTAACGTGAACTCCGTCACACTCTCCTCCCCAGCGCCAGGCGGAACTCTCTAAGCACGTTAATCATTCATAACGACAATCGAGATCATTAACCCACTTCAAATTTCAAACTCAGCTGAGCTCCTCTTTCACGTGGGTCAAATGGTGTTATTATTCGGAAAATCATCTCAGCGCCTTTCCCTGTTAATTTATTCACTTCCCGCTGGAGCAAACCCGTTAGTAATATCGATTTCGTTCTAAACACGTAATCATTCGCCCTCTCAGCAGAGTTCTTTATTCACCACCTAA